GCCATCCACTAGGTTGGCGAGTGCCATATGACCTTTGTGCTTGGCTCCAGTGATGAAGTGGCGACCAAAGCTGATTCCTCATCGTCAGGAAAGAGACGCAAGTTCTATTTTTGGGTTCTCGCAGGGTAGCAAAGGAAGGTGACCAACAAAATGGTGGAGGCACGTGAATGCGTGAGAATCCTGAAGAACAATCCCTAAATGTCACGGCTGAGGTGTCTGCAAATGCTTCTGATGCACCTTACCTCCCAACTCCTGGCTCTGAAAGTTCAGCCTGTTGTGCCCTAGCTCCTGGATTTCTTGCTTGGTTCCCAAAGCATATCCCGCAAGGTTGCCACTTAGTTCCTCCCCAGACCACAGCATTTTGAATGTAGGTGGCGTTCCTGCTCAGTCTTCCCTTGGTTTTCACTCTGTTCCCGGAAAGAGGGCTGGGGATTGGGCGAAGGAAGAAAGTTCCTGGCCAACCCATTGACAGCAGTGCCATGCCTCCGCAAAGGCCCAAGCACCAACTTGGGCCAGTAAGTACGTCCACTGGCTCCCCAGGAGGCCAATCGAGCAGAGAGGCTCCGGACCCAGTATTACCCTTTACACAACTCTGGTTCTATGCTTTTGAAGCCACAAAAAAAAAAAAAAAAAAAAAGAAATTTTTTTCCAATGTGGATGGAAACATCGCAACCCCTGTGGGTGTAGGTAGGATGGTGAATAAAAAGGGGTCAGAGACTTTGAAAGGGAGTTTAAAGCTCGAACGTCACTGAGGAGGGTGACTGAGTCTCCAAACTTTCTTTTTTTTTTTCTTTTTTTTTCGAGGACGGGAGTCTTCGCTTGCTGCCCAGGCTGGAGTGCAGTGGCTGGGATCCTCAGCACTGGCAAGCCGCCTCCCGGGTTCAGGCCATTCTCCTGCCTCAGCCTCCCGAGTAGCTGGGACTACAGGCGCCCGCCGCCTCACCTGGCTAGTTTTTTGTATTTTTTAGTAGAGACGGGGTTTCACCGTTTTAGCCAGGACAGTCTCGATCTCCTGACCTCGTGATCCGCCCGTCTCGGCCTCCCAAAGTGCTAGGATTACAGGCTTGAGCCACCGCGCCCGGCCGGTCCCAAAACTTTCTCCAGGACCTGTCAGCACCCATTGGAGGAGGGACTAAGGGTCTGGCTTGCAGCATGACAGTGAGGAGCCTTTGGGGGCAGGGTGGGGCTCCAGATGGGAGGGTTAGGTGACCTGGAGGGCGCGTGCAGCCCATGTTCCTGCCAAAGTCCAGGGCGCAGCTGGTTCCTTGCAGCCTCTAGCCCCTAGAGGACTGGTGGGACCAGTGGGGGTGAGGGCCTTGCAAGGTCGGTGATGGTGAGCCAGCTGCCAGACAGGCAACAGGGCAGTGTCCCAGAGAAGGGTCAGCGGGCCAACTCCCCAGATCCAGTATTTAGTAAACACTTAAGCCCAACCCCAAGTAGCCCTGGGGACAGAGCCCTGTCCCCTGTGGTGGATGCAGGTGCAGATTCTATCGCAACCCAGGATGACTGGGTGTGAGCTACGAGGGAGGCTGCAAGAAGTGCAGGGCTTGGCAGGGGATCTGTGTATGGCAGGAGGAAGATGAAGACTCTGGAAAATGGGGAGTGGAAAGGGCCAGCAGGGTCAGGGGCATCATCATGCCCAAAGACAGTAGAGGAGATAGGAGATACTACAGTAGGCGAGTGGCCTTGGGGCTTGTATTTGGGGTGTCTGGGGGTCACCCAGGGGAAGGACAAACACTAACATCTGGAGCTAGAGACAGCCTCTTGGGAGTCATTTCTGTACAAGTGGTCATTGAGATGACATGGAGTGGATGAAATTGTGTGAAGAGTTGAGAAAAAGAGGAATAAAACCCCAGGGAGCATTTAAGAGTGGAGAGAGAAGCCTGTGGAGGAGGCAGAGAGAGAGTAGGGTCAGCAGGTCAGAAGAGATCCCAGAGGCATGGCTCAGAGGCAGGGAGGGAACATTCCAGGAATCAGGGGCTGGCCACCAGTGTGGACTGCAGCAGAGAAGGAGGGGAGGAGACCAGGGAAATGGAAGGTCCCAGGTGACTTGCAAAAGCAGCCCTGGGGATGCTGGGGACAGAGGTCCCAGGAAGAGTGTGGGAAGAAAGCAAGGTGGGCAGTGACAGCCCAGCTGGAGAGGGAGGGCAGACTGGAGCTGGGGTCCTTGAGTGGGAAGCAGGAACGAGGCTCTTTAAGGATGGGAGGTGGGCACTTGGGTGAATGCTAGTGTCCTCGGAGGCTTGCTTCTGTCCCTGTCACATCTCACAGGACCATCCCTTTCTCATTCACAAACTCCCTCAGGCCTCACCCCATCCCTTGAGGATCATGTAAAGAAATTCCTACTGGCTGGAGACAATGGTCCCATTTTTTTTTTTTTTTTCACAGGCGTCTCAGGGACAGTCTCTCTAATCAGATGTGTGGGCCTGGCTGGGGATCTGAGCTACCTGAGGACCCAGCAAATGGTACAGTGAATGCACTTCTTTCAGATGGTCCCCAAATCACTAGCAAGAGGCTGCCTCCTCCAGAAGGGCTGTTGTTATTTTTTCCCATCCTCTTGGCCACCCTATGACCCTTTGCCATGTCCCAGAACCAAATTCAGCAGCACAGTGCTTTACTGATGATTAGAACAAGGTACCTGGATGCCCTTGCTGTGGCATGGTCTCTCTGGGGGCTCTGAAGCCCTCCTGCACCTCCTGTAGGCTCACAGCCTGGTGCAGGGATACAGGAGGAGGTAGCTGTATCTGGGGCCCCTGCATCCCAGAGACAGGCTGAGGTTCAAACATCAGACATATTTTCCAGATTGCTTACCATGCCTAGAGCAAGTACAGGGCAAGCTGCTGGCCTTCCTGCCTCCACTCCCACTCCGTTAACTGGGACAGGGAGGCCCACAAATCCTCCTGATGAAGGTTCCATTCCCACCCTCCCCTTTTGCCCCACTGTTGACTTTCTGTGGGATCAGCTGCCCTGGCATGTGGGACTGTCAGAGGTGCTGGAACCAAAGTTACTCCATCTTAAATAGGGGCTGGGTAAAATGAGGCTGAGACCTACTGGGCTGCATTCCCAGGAGGTTAGGCATTCTGAGTCACAGGAAGAGACAGGAGATAGACACAAAAATACAAGTCATAAAGACCTTGCTGATAAAACAGGTTGCAGGAAAGAATCCGACCAAAACTCACCAAAACCACGATGGCGAAGAAAGTGACCTCTGATTGTCCTCACTGCTCATTACATGCTAATTATAATGTATTAGCTGGTTAAAATACGCTCCCACCAGCACCATGAGAGTTTATAAATGCCATGGCAATGCAAGGAAGTTACCCTGTACGGTCTGTAAAGGGAAGGAACCACCAGTTCTGGGAATTACCCACCCCTTTCCTGGAAAACTCATGAATAGTCCACCACTTGTTCAGCATATAATCAAGAAGTAAAAATAAGTATGAGCCGCTGAGCAGCCCATGCTGCTGCTCTGCCTATGGAGTAGCCACTTTTATTCCTTTTTTCTTTTTTTCTGAGATGGAGTTGACCAGGTTGGAGTGCAATGGTATGATCTTGGCTCACTGCAACCTCTGCCTCCTGGGTTCAAACGATTTTTCTGCCTCAGTCTTCTGTGTAGCTGGGATTACAGGTGCCTGCCACCACACCTGGCTAATTTTTTGTATTTTTCGTAGAGACAGGGTTTCATTCACCATGTTGGCCAGGCTGGTCTCGAACTCCTGACCTCAGGTGATTCACCCGCCTCGGCCTCTCAAAGTGCTGGGATTACAGGTATAAGCCACCGTGCTCAGCCTATTCCTTTACTTTCTTAATAAACTTGCCTTCACTTTACTCTATGGACTTGCCCTGAATTCTTTCTTGTGCAAGACCCAAAAACCCTCTCTTGGGGTCTCGATGGGGGCCCCTTTCTGGTAACATGACCAACTTTCACTCCGCTTGGAGACCCTCTGCAAACCCAAGGCTGCTGTTGAAAGAAGTCTTGCTCTTCCCTGTCCCAGAGGCCAATGTTCAATTCTTTGACACTGCAGTCTGCCCCCTTACTCACCACTGATCTGACAGATGGGCCCTACCTCTGCCAGAAGACAGTGAGGCTGTCTCCTGGTGTCCCCAGCTTTGGGGCAGCCAATGTGCTGCAAAGTGGAGCCCTCTTTGGAGTATGCAACATTCTGTCAGCACCCAACATGCTCCCAGCCATAAACTTCCCTTCCTGTGCCTCCAGGGAGGCCAGGCCTGAAAGCCCAGAACCTGCTGTAGACTCACGGTGTGAAATGTCTGCTTCCGGGCCGTAATACTGGCTGCCTTTTTAACCCTGTAAAACTTGGGTGAGATGCCTGAAATTGTGGGTGACCTTTCAGATAGACTACCTGCCTGGTAAAGAATGGAAACTTTGGGCTCAAAATATTGGTCTATGTGGCCGCAGCAGCTGGGTCATCCAGTTCAGAGCACCCCAGACAGCCCAGTGTATTGTCTAACCCACTGTCCTCCCAAGGGTCCAGTGGGCCACAGCCATCACCTCCATGCTGGTTGGATGTACATGGTTGATACTATCCAGCTGAAGACTGAAATGCCTGCAATCTCATGGGAATGTGACAAGTAGGAATATGACATTTTACTCAAAGCTAACAAGCATGATTCCTAGGTATGGGTTCTTTTGCTAGCCATGTACAGCTATCTACTCGGGCTTGTATATCTTTTCATGTAAAGTTATATTTCACCCATTTACCTGATGGCCGCCTTCCTCACTGAGGCCCTCAGAGCATCACATAAGCATCTGGGGAGACTGACAAAGGGACAATCTGTGCTTAGGATTACTATTTGGTTCACAAGACTGATCATGTGAGTTTTAAAACCTAACAACCCGCCCCCCCCCAGGTCCTTTGGTCATGCTAAAACTCCCAACAGAGAGCGGCCATCAGTTAAGGAGTCAGTGAAGTTGAAACTAGAAAGGCGAATATAGACCCAATCTTTTCTGTTGCGGGTCTTTAGTTCTTGACAGACTTTAGGGGAAAAAAGTAGTTTTTTTTTTTTTTTTTAATGGGTTATGAGCTCAAGAGGGACAGTTTGCACAGTTTGGACAAAATAGAAGTACTCTTACCAATAAATATGTCTCAAAATGACAAATAAAGCTCTCCAATTGGTGGCTCGGAATCCCAGCAAGAAGTGATGGGCACAGGCACGATGAGCTATGTACAGAGTGTAAACAGTAAGGCCCTTGAGGGGAAGTAATAAGGGCTAGGGCCAGGTGATGGGGTGTGCACGGAGGAGCCTGGGTGGCGGAGAGTGGGCCCATGGATAAATACAACAGGCTTGTATGACGGCCATACAATCTGCCACCAAAGCTTGTGTGGTGGTGGTAGGTCCACTGGGTTCCTCCAGTCGGCAGTAAGAAGGAGAAATTTGTCCACTGAGGAGCCCTGGTCCCACTGACTTTTTCCCTAAGGGAGGCACTGGGGTAGCCGGCCAAAGCTTCTGTGCCCATTCCCCAGAAGAGGAGGGGCAGGCCTTCCTGGGCATGCTTGGGGCTGTCTACTCAGGGTTCAGGGCATGGAGGATGGGGCAGTGTTTCTCAAATAGGGATTGGGAGCAAATGGCCCCACGGAGCCCGCAGCCCCTCCCTTCTAAGAAAAGAGTTCTGGGCACCTGAGTCCAGCAGGGGGCCCCATTACTTTTCACCTTTCAAGGGCTCCAGCCTCAAGCTCCACCCAGTTCCTCAGGGATGCCACAGAGCAGCTGCCCTGATCAGTTTCCGGGTCTCCGATTTGCACGGGGTCTCTTAGAACAACGCCAGCCTCCCTCTCTAGTCCCCCTTACCCCAAAGCCCAGCACACTCCGCGGCCTAGCTCTGGGGTCCTTAAATATCAGTCTCCCGCAGGTTACTGTAGTCGGCCAATTCGTAGGCCTGGCAGGCGGCGCCCTCGGCCACCTCGTGGGGGACGCCTAGGGACACGGCCTCCACCTCTGAGCGCTGGGAGCACGCTGCCTCTGCGCGCTGCGCGCCCCCGGCGCGGATCTTGTGCGACAGGCTGGAGACTTTGGCGCGCAGCTGGGTGGTGGGTCTCCGGAGAGGCCCCAGCAGCCTCCACTCGCGGAAGGCGCTGGGTGGCTTTCGGCGACTGGCCACGGGAGCCTGCATCTCTGGCGTGCCTGGGGGGTCGGGGTCGGGGAGCGCGGTGAGGGCCAGCGGCGCTCCGGGAGGCGCGTCGCCCGAGCTCCGAGTGCAATCCTGGCGCAGGCCGCTAGTGGAGGCCCGCCAGTGGTGGCCGTAGACACGCCAGAGAGGGCGGCGGCGCCGGCGACGACGGCACTGGCAGCGCAGGAGACGGAGGAAGGCGCGCTTGAACTCGCGGCTGGAACAGGGGTAGATGAGCGGGTTCACGCAGCTATTGAAGTAGCCGAGCCAGAAGATGACCTTGAAGACGCCCTCCGATGGCTTCAGCTGCGGGAACAAGGAGCCTGTAGGGAGCAGAGACCGATACTGGTTAGCTGCTTGGGGACGGGGAGGCCAGGCGGATCTGGGCGCAAAGGGGAGATCCTTCAGTAGCCTTGGCTGAGTCATTGACTAGGAGTTCTCAAGGGATCCGTGCTGTAAATCAGGAGGTCCATGAACTTGGATAGAGAAGAATAATAATTGTTTTCACTCACCTCTACCTGATATTGAAGATTACCTTCAATGAATGTAGGCAACAAACCGGAGTAGTTAGACAAAACCAAGTGCAATTGCTGTTTTTGTAGCTCAAAACCGGTTCAATATTGGCAGTTTCGAATTATGAGACAAAGTAACAAACATAGCCATGTTTGCTCATTTCTGCGTGCCAGCATAATTTCACAAAGTCCCCGACTCTGTGACAAAGTACGGCTCTCTGGAAAGATGCGTTGAAGATAAAATAGGATAGAACATATGCCCCCGCCTCCCTGCCACATCTCTTGTCTGAGTCACTATATTCCTGAAATGATAAATGACCCTAGTTCTTGCCTCTTCCTACACAGAAGATAACGTCTGACTAGGTTAGTAATTATCCTGCTATGAACAGATATACTCTTACACCCCAAACTCAATATAATTCTGCTTTAATAGAACTTCTGAACAAATTCAACATAATTTTGTACATATGGAACCCCCGCCACCTATATATAAACAGTAGGTTAAAATACTGTGCTGGAGCAGTCTGATATAACCTCTCTGAAGGGCTGGGCTACAGGGCTTAGTCTATAGTCCTCAATAATACTTCTAAATAAAACTAATGTTAATTTTTAAAAGCTTTTTTTCTTTAATTGATAATATGATTCAAACGAATATTAGCAGTCCCCACAGATACTTTCCTATCACTTTCAGTTGTTGCAGATGTTTTGAAATATTCTCTGTGCTCACTTTTGGGAAGTGACAGTCATTAGAATGCACCACAGATCTTGTTTTTTTTTTTTTTAGACCCACAGAGTCAATTTATTTGTGATAAAGGTACAAAGATAATTCAATAGAGAAAGGGTAGTCTTTTCATTTGTCTTTTCAACAAATGATCCTAGAACAATTGAACTAGATCTTGTTATGTAATACCTTAATGCAGAAGCATATTCATTACCAAGTCACGCATTTCCTGTAAAAATATTTTGATGGCTTTTCCAATAAAATCAGTTTCATTTGTAATCTTTTGTATTTTGTTTTATGCTTTTGCAAGCGTGACTCTGAGAAGGGACCCATATGCTTCCCTAGGTGCCTAAGTAGTCTGCAACAAAAAGGGGTAAGAACCTTCTAATTAAATGTTGGCCAAGGTTTGCTCCCTGCCAGGTGCTGTGCTGGGTTCACACACACGAGGAGGCATTACACATGGCCCTTATTTCCTAGCTAGTATGTGAATCAATATCTTTGAGATGCAGGTGGGGTGATGATGGTGGTGCTCAGTGTAGACAGTCCCTGACTTTTGATGGTTTGACTTAATTTTTTGACTTTACAATGGTGCAAAAGTGATATGCGTTCAGTAGAAACCATACTTCAAGTACCCAAACAACCGTCCTGTTTTTCACTTTCAATATAGTAGTTAATAAATTACATGAGATACGCAACACTTTATTATAAAATAGGTTTTGTGCTAGATGATTTTGCCCAACTGTAGGTGAATATAAGTGTTCTGAGTGTGTTTAAGATAGACTAGGGTAAGCTATGATGTTCGGTAAGTTATATGTATTAAATGCATTTTGACCTATGATATTTTCAATTTATGACAGGTTTAACAGGACATAACCCCCATTGTAGCTCCCCATTGCCGCTGTGTGTGCATGTAGGGTGGCAGCCACAGGCTCACAGGCAGCTTAGGGGTTTTAGAGGATGTACAAGAGTCAGCCAGGATGAGGCATCGCAGAGGGTATTACAGGTGGAAGGGACAGGTGGGCAAGAAAATACCAAGTTTGGGTCCTGGGAATATCCTATAGGAGAAACTCAGAAAATCTCATTTGGGACAAACAGTGAAGGGGCTTACATGCTGTGAAGTTCAGCTTTCATTTTGTGGATGCTTACAAGCCGTGAATATTTTTAAGTAGGTGAGAGATAGAGCCTGGAATTAAGCCTCCATAAACACACTGCTCATGGGCTGTTGAAATGCAGGGCAATGGGGCTGTTCCAGTGGAAGTGGTCAGGAAAGGCTCCTGGGATGGCTTTGAAAAAGGAGAGTGCCAGGTAGGATGGGGCAGGGACACTAGGATCTGAGTTGTGCCAGGAAGACCCTCTTTTCCACAAACATCTCCCTTGACATCCCTACCATGGACCCAGAAAAGGTCATTTTTCCAGAAAGGCACATGACCAAATGCAAAGGTACGATCCAGGCAGCAGAGGCCACTCTTTCACTCCCACTTACCCTCAGCAGCAGTAGGGGCAAGAGAGCAGGGGGCCAGGGGTGTTTCCTCCTGGATAGAGGCTGCAGGTGCCTGTGAGACCAAGCAGGCCAGGGGTGGGGGGGGGGTCCTTGACAAATTATGGGACATTCTCTCTCTTCCTCTTGCCTTCAAAGAAAAAAGAGCAGGGATCCCTACTGAGGAGGCAGAGGCACCGTTCCCCTCTCTTCGACCTGGGGATTATTAACTTTACTGATCACTTCCCCTCCCATTATACAAGGACAGTTTCTGGTGCTAACAGCCACCGCAGGGGAAGAGGAGGGTCCCATAGCATCATGGCACAGGCTTCTCAAACCTTGGTCATGTGGCCCTGAGCAAGTTATGTGGCCATCTAAGTTTTTTTTTTTTTTTTTTTTTTTTTTTAGATGGAGTCTCACTCTGTCGCCCAGGCTGGAGGACACTGGTGCGATCTTGGCTCACTGCAATCTCCGCCTTCTGGGTTCAAGCAATTCTCCTGCCTCAGCCTCCTGAGTAGCTGGGACACGCCACCATGCCTGGCTAATTTTTGTTTGGTAGAGGCGGAGTTTCACCATGTTGGTCAGGCTGGTCTCCAACTCCTGACCTTGTGATCCGCCTGTCTCAGCCTCCAAAAGTGCTGGGATTACAAGTGTGAGTCACTGTGCCTGGCCCATCTAAGTCTTACTTTTCTTTTAATATTATTTTTCTAGAAGGAATTTTGTGAAGATTCATATATTTTAGGTCCCAGCACTTAGCAGGTTCTTAAAAAGTATGGGTATCTATTACTTTTTTTTTTTTTTTTTGAGACAGTGTTTCTCTCCCATCGCCCAGGCTGGACTTCGGTGGTACGCTCTTGGCTCATTACAACCTCCTCCTCCTAGGCTCAAGCAATCCCCCTGCCTCGGCCTCCTGAGTAGCTGGGACTACAGGCGTGCATCATCATACCCAGCTAATTTTTGTATTTGTAGTAGTGTTTTGCCATGTTGGCCAGGCTGGTCTTGAACTACTGACCTCAAGTGATCTGCCTGCCTCAGCCTCCCAAAGTGCTGGGATTACAGGTGTGAGCCACTGTGCCTGGCCTATTAGTATCTATTACTTACCCCCATTTCTGTGGCTTTTGAGTGAAGAGACCTCAGATCTGGGAAGGGACCCAGTTTCTAGCTCTGGAGAGTGGCCAGAAACAGCAGCTGAGACCTAGTGGGTTTAGGGGCCACTGGTGCATCAGTCAGGATGTGTGAAGGAGATTATTTTCCCTGGGAGAGGGGTTGGGCCGTCCCTGGAATGTGGCGGCCACTAGTGTTGACCTCAGCCTCCAGGAAAGTGGCCCTCAAGAACAGCATTGCTCAATGGCTGCGAAGTAAGACAGAGTGCTGAAAATAGCCTTCTGACTCAGGCTACAATTCTTTTATATTTAGCCCAGGATGACAAATCAGTGGACTATGCTTTTCAGTGGTGAGCCTGAAGCTGGCCAGAGGGCATTGTTATTTGCATGGTTTTTATTCAGACTGGTGGGCAACATGGTATACTGTGGTATGGCCAGGTCACGTAAACATTAATGTGGTAACTTATGCTCAATCAACCTCAAGTCTGCTGTGAGCAGGGAAGTCCTTACACGAGAAGGAGCTGTAATACAAACTCAGCCTTTAACCTCCAAGGTTTTCCCACTGTATCCTGTTGAGGTTTTATCTTACTTTGGGCTCTCCCAGAGCAGACTGACAAGAATAGAAATACAAGTTGTTAATTTGGGAGATAAATAAAACAGCTTGAGTGGAGTGGGAAAAAGAGACAGGGAAGAGAAGGAAGCCAATAAAATGTGTGTTATCAAGTTATTGATCACTATGGGCAATGGGGTAGCTCCGGGTGGCTATGAAGAGGACAAACCTCAGTGTTCTCACACCAGTAGGGTAAGGGAGGTGGGGTATTTCTACGCCCATTCCCATCAGTCATTGTTTGGGCTGCTCCCTCTGGTGTTAATTTTCCACACTTTCTGTCTGCCACATGAGTGTGCAGAGAAGTCCCTGGGCAAAGAAATGCAGGCAGGTGCTTCAACAGAATTTGGCCCTCATGCACTAAAGCTCTGGGGGAGATGGGTGGGGAACCAGTGGCATCTGCCAGAGCTTTGTTTTACGTGCTCTCTGCCCACTGCATGTAGACATGTTGCCTGGAAATACAAACAATCTGTGCGTTGGGCTCCGGATTCCACAGGCAGTGGCTCTCAAGAGACTTCTCCTGTTCTGCTCACAGATGGCAGGTCTGAACTTCACACCCGCCTCTGCCCACAGTGCTCCAATCCACCACCTACACCTCCCTGCACTTGCCCACTCTCTTGGCTGCACCCCTCAGCATTCTCTCATGGGCCCACAGCCTCATGCAGGGATCTCTGGGAGTCAGAACGACAACTGGGCATTTCCTTCGCTGTGGCATACCATGAGTGTGAAATGGGGAACTGCCCCAAGACCCCTGAGCATGGGCACGTGGCTCAGGGGTCTTGTTCTCTTGTGGCTCCAGTGTCTCTCTGCAGTCCTCTGTCTTCATGTGCAACAGCCAAGTGGCCATGCTGAGTCATGCTGCACTCTGGCCACAAGGGGCTCCCCAGTTTTGCCTCTGGGCTC